TGGCCTGGAGGGAGAAAGGGAAAAGCTTTGAGACAGCTGCCTCTGTACCACACAGTCATAACACCCAGGCAGAAAAAGAAAAAAAAAAAAAATGATTAAAGTTAAACTCACTTAGGGACCCAACTGTGACGGCGTTCCATTGGGCAAAACGAGGCCCAAAGGCAGAGTGGCCGCAACTTCCACCGCTGCTTACGCCTGGGGAAAGAAGGATGATTATATACAACACAACAACTTCTACTGAATAATGTTATATAAACCGCTGTACACACCCTTGCAGCTGGCAGCCTGGATACCTTTTATTATAGGCCAGTTAAATTTTATACATTTAACTGGCGAACATGAGTTCGCTTCATGTAATTTCAAGTAATCTAGTCGCCGGAAGTTCAAAGGTGTTGTCAAGTTAGCCTGAAACTGACCGATACGTCAACCAAAAAAGCTGATTGTGGAGAAGGATCCATTCATACTTTATTAAAACAGAGACGCATTAGAGAACTCGTCCTTCTTTTGCTCCTCTGCTCAGCTGTGAGCTTCGTCCTCATCCTCCACTTCTCTCTTGCGAACTTTCCCTTCAAACAACCTTGGAGACACTTTCCTCTGGAGCAGCGGGGTCCCGGGGCCCTGAGGGAGCCCTGCGCAACTCAGATGGGTCCGAACTAAGAAACAAACAGGGACAATACGGTCTGCGTCAGGTGGTTCGCTTCTCTAAAACATCTGGGGTATTTCACTAAGCACAAGACTTTTTGGTCTAGATTTCTCTGAAACTCTTTACCTTCAAGACAAGACAGAGAGAGAGAGAGAGAGACAGACAGAGACAGAGCAGCAAGAGAGAAGAGAAGACAGGAGAGAAGAAGAAGACAGAGAGTGAGAGAAGACAGAGAGAAGAGAGGAGACAAACAGACAGAGAGAGACAGAGAGAAGAGAGAACAGAGAGGATAGAGAGAGAACAGAGAGTGAGGAGAGAGACAGAGAGTGAGAGGAAGAACAGAGAGAATCAGAGAGAGAGAGAACAGAGAGAGACAGAGAGAGACAGAGAACAGAGTACAAGAGAGATGATCATGATATTTTTATTGATTGAGAGACAGAGAGAGGAGAGAGACAGAGAGAGGAACAGAAGAGAGAGAAGAGAGAGAGAGAGAGAGGGAGATGAGGAGAGAGACAGAGAGACAGAAGCAGACAGAGGAGAGAGAGAACAGAAAGAACAGAGACACAGAGACAAGAGAGAGAAACAAGAGAGAGAGAGACAGGAGAAGAGACAGAAGAGAGACAGAAGAGAGAGAGAAGAGAGAGAGAGAGAGAGAGAGAGAGGAGAGAAGAGAGAGAACCTGGGGTGCTGTGATGTCGGGTTCTGCGATCTTCAACGGTGACCGGGCTGAGTGCGGCGGGGGAGTTGTCGGGGGCTGAGGATGTTTTCTTCCTGAAGCCGTCCACTGACGGGACAGGACTCCCACTGAGGACACCCCGGTGCTGCAGGGGGTAGACGGCTGGGGGGGTGATGGGTGAACCTTGGCGCGGGCCGCGCAACGGCTCCCTGAGGGACGGAAGATAACAGTTAATACGGTGGTTTAGTGTTTCATACAACGACAACACAGCTTCTTCTCACAGAATCTCCTCTGGGTTTCTACCTTTCAAATACCGCTTAAAGACCGTTTTAAAAGCAATTTAAGACCCATTTTACGTCAATAACGGCCAAAAAAGTACAAAGGATATGAAGAAAAATCAGTACTGGTTCCATGTGAGTTTTATTACAGTGAGATTAAAACAGATTTCTCCTTAAAACACATGAAAAATGCAACTTCATACAGGTAACTCCAGTAATCTAACACATTTTAAGGCCTAAAAATGCAGATTATTGGGTTTTTAAATATCCCAATGCAGCTGTGATTCAGTCACAAAGCCTTCCTTACATAACCGAACTTGTCCGAACTTGCTTTATTCATCCGTTATGCAGCCGCTGGTTGCACCTTTGAAGAGATCTTTGTGATGCCACAGATGTCAAAATGTTTGCACGAGCTGAAAATAACATTTAAATTCAATATCTCCAAACATTTGCATCGACGCTGGCTCTGACAGGCAGACAGTAAACATCAACCTGCTGCTGAATAACAGGCAGGAGGTTTGAGGTTGAAGCACAGAGGATGCAGGACGCCACACATTACGGTTAAATTATAGGTTGTTGAGTCTTTCTCTCTCCCAACAGCAGCTTCAGACGCTCATTTTACACTTTTACAGCAACTTTTGATGAAGAAAACAAGTTCATGGACTTTTTCTGGGGGTGTTGGTGGCATTTTGGGAAACAGAAAATATATAATACTGACTAAAAGTAGTCAAAATATATATATTAACAATAATATTTATTTATAGAGCACTTTCACATACATAAGTGATGATTGATTTCTTTTTTTTGAGTCTGATACTTTATTACCTCATCTGATTACTGAAAAAGGTTTAGATTGATCACATTATTGAGTTTTCTAGTTTTAAATTCCTATTTTTCCACTGAACATCAGGGACAATGATGGAAGTGTACGCCTGTATTGTTTTATACTTGTCTAATATCGTGCATTTTATAAATATATGACAATAATCCTGCGAGCAACAAGTAGTACAGACACTTCTCGAGCTATATATTGTAAATTATGTTGCTGTAACGTTAGTGGTGCAGGATATGCTGACTTATTACAGTGTGCAAATAAAAGATCCTACCAAAGTTAATAATTAAAAACCCGCCAAGAAATTGAACTTGGAAACACTGCAGCATGCTGGGTGTGCATTATTAAACTTTTATTAAACTAATAACTAACAGCAGTCCATATTAGCACACTTTTACACCTGCTTAGTGTTTGTTTATGGAGACAAAATGTTAAAAAAAATACATTTCAGCTTCAGTTTGAACTATAACTTCCCAGCACCGAACTCCCTTTAACAAATATCACATTTTAACTATTTCTAACGTCTCCGTAAAAATCCCTTTACAGCAGAAACACGAGCTGAAGCTGGTTCTTTGTGGACAGTCTTCTTATCAATTCGGCATCAAAACAAATCGATAAATATAATCTGAATTCTGCACAAACTCGCCACCAACCAACCCACCAACCCACTCCACCGCCTCCTAAACCGGGGCTGAGTTTACGTTGGTAACGTAGCAGCGTGCTGTTTTCACCACCAACGTACCCGGTAAACGACAGCCTCCGGTTCGGGGTGTAGACAGCATGGTTGGGTCTGGACAGCCTCTCCCGCAGCTGCTCCCGCGGGTTCCTCGCCGCCCTCGGCCTCCCGGAGTCGGCCGCCGGACTCTCGGGTTTCCCGATGTAGCTCCCCATGAGGAAATCCCGGGGGCTGAAAAGAAACGAGTCACTTGTTAAGGTCTCCCTCCGATAGATCCCAGTTTCGGGGAACCTTTCTCTGAAGTGTCCCTCCGTCTCCCGGTGCTCGGTTTTGCTCCCGCCGCTCTTCGTTGTCCTGCGCGGGGCAGCAGCAGCGACCGACCCGCCGGCGACCCTCCGACCCCGCAACCAGCGCCGGAGCGCGGCGGGGACGTTAAACCGAGCCCGCGGATTGAGGCCTAACCTGGCGGGAAGCGGTTCTCCGCTGTGATAGTAGCACACAACACAACAGACTGCGAGGATTACAGCCGCGTACAGGAAGGTGGGGACGTAATAAAGAGCCACAGAGAGGAAGCCTAACGCAGAAAGAAGAGCTAAATGTTTCTCTCTACGTGACATGGCGGCAGCGCGCCGCCGGAGGACTCTCATATCCCATCATGCTGCTGGTCGGACCACGCTTCTTCTTCGGGGGATTCTACGCTGTTCGACGTTTTGTTGCAGCGCCGACTTCCGGCCTGGAGGTTGTTGTTTGTTTGTTTGTTTGTTTGTTTGTTTGTTTATTTATTTTTCATTCATTCATTCATTCATTTATATATTTATTCATTTATTCATTTATTCATTTATTTATATATTTAATTATTTATTCATTCATTCGTTTATTCATTTATTTATTTATTTATTTATTTAATTATTTATTCATTTATTTTCATTCATTCATTCATTTATAGATTTCATTATTTATTCATTCATTCATTTATTCATTCGTTTATTTATTTATTTATTTATTTATTTATTTATTCATTCGTTTATTCATTTATTTATAGATTTAATTATGTATTCATTTATTTATAGATTTAATTATGTATTCATTCATTTAATTATTTATTCATTCATTTAATTATTTATTCATTTATTTATTTATTTATTCATTCATTTAATTATTT